GTACCAGGCAGCAGCATGAAGCTGATCAGGGCCAAAGTCGTGCCTCATCGAGCAACCGCCGTGCTTGCCCAAAGAAATACTGTTCGTACACCTGCCGTCCCAAACCTCTGCGCGCCCGACCAACCTCGCCCCATCCCCACCACCCACCGCCGACCCCAACCCGGCTGCATCACATGGCAGCCCCTGATGACGTGCCGAAGCCCAACGGCCTGCGCGCGCGCGTGGACCTGACGGCCTGCCTGGTGGAAGACCTGGATGAGAACGGCTACGCGCGGCCCTCGGTGGGCGCGGCAGGGGCGCACGCTTGACGGCGCGGGCCGCGTGTGAAGCGGGCACCTGGGCCACTCAACTGCATCTGAATGTGCATGGGCATGTACATGTGCACGTGTGTGTATGTGCGTGTATATGTGTGTGTATGTGTGTGTTTATCATGATGCTGAACTGTCATGTATTATTGTGTGTTCGTTTGTTTGTCAATCTCCTGTGTGCGACAGGGCGCCGGCGTGGGGATGGGGTGCGTGGCACCGAGGAGTGGTAGGGTTGTGTCCAGCAGGCATGGCCTGCAGGAAAGGGGTCTTCAGGTGCACGACAGGGCATCCTAGTGGGCCGTTGCATCGCCACCACCTATGCACCCAACCACACACCACTCAAGAGCGCAAGCGCTCACGCGCGCGCGCACGCGCACACACATACACACACACAACACACACACACATAACACACACACACACAAACACGCACACATGCACACACACCAGGTGGGCAGCGCCATGGTGGAGATCCAGCGGGGGGACAGGGCCAGCCTGCTGCTGCGCGTGCGCTCTGTCGACCCAAGGCGGCCCTGCGTCAAGGAGTACAACAGGTGCGGCGGTTGCGTGCTTACGCAGCCCCGGGGGCCTCCCGGAGTTTTGTAAGGGGGTCTAACAACGGCCCATGCGTGACGCCGCTGCACATGCCTCCGTGCCTGCGCACCAATCGCATCTGCGCAGCTCAGAAAGCGCACACCAAGAACCACACACAAGATTACACGCAAGCAGTCAGGCACGTCTCGCGCGACATGCTCTAGCTGACTCGCCATGCCCACTTCACACTTGCGCACACCCGCATTTTAACTTCTCCACAGCATCACCCTGCGTGCTGAGAATGTGCACACGAAGTACGAATGGATCGCCCGCCTGCAA